CATTAGTGTTTTGTCTGCAAGTGTGCCTATGTGAGGGTGTCGGGTCCCCTGGAACTGGAGTTACAGGCAGGTGTGTGTGAGCTGCCATGTGGGTGCTGGGAAGTGAACCCCGGACTCTGGAACAGCAGTCAGTATTCTTTCAACTGCTAAGCCATCTCTCTGGCCCCCAAGATCTTTTTATTGTTTTTTTTGAGACAGGGTTTCTCTGTGTAGCCTTGGCTGTCCTGTAACTCAATTTGCAGACCAGGGTGGCCTTGAACTCATAGAAATCTGCGTGCCTCTGCTTCCCAAGTGCTGGGATTAAAGTTCATCAATACCACCTGGAAGACCTTTTCTCCTTTATCTTGTAACTGTTAAGATTGGAGGCTGGGTTATAGCTCACTTGTAGAGCATATACCTAGCAGGTAGGAAATCTCTAGTTTGATCCCAACCCTCCCTCCCAACACACAGTAAAAGACCAATGTAGTTAGTATCTTGGAAGACTGAGGCACCTGGAGGTTGAGGCTAGCCTGAGCTACATAGATTAAAAACAAAGTAGTAGGGGGCTGGAGAGATGGCTCAGCGGTTAAGAGCATTGCCTGCTCTTCCAAAGGTCCTGAGTTCAATTCCCAGCAACCACATGGTGGCTCACAACCATCTGTAATGAGGTCTGGTGCCCTCTTCTGGTCTTCAGTCATACATGCAGGAAGAATATTGTATACATAATAAATAAATAAATATTAAAAAAAAACCCAAAGTAGTAAAACAAAACAAAACAAAATAGTAGCCTCCAACTTGGGTATATAGCTGAAGATGACTTTCAACTTATATTTGTGTGCATGAGGAGGGGGACACATGTGCCACAGTACATGAGAGCAAAGGACAATTTGTAGTCAGATCTTTTTCTCACACAGGCCCCTGGAATTGAACCGGGGTGATTAAGCTTTGCAGCAAGCACCTTTACACACTCAGGCAAGTCACAGGCTGAAATTCTGATTGTCAACTCTACAAGAGTTCTGGGATTACAGCTATGAGCTGCCATGCCTGGACTATGTCGCCATTGTGAGTGCTGGGGATCGAACCCAGGGCGTCATGAATGCCAGGCAGCTACTCTACCAACCGGGCTACATCTGTAGCTTCCAGCAGTTTTAGTTCTTTGAAAAGTATTTATAGAAGTTATTTCTCCTCACGAAGTGGATCCATCCTAAGCACTGCTCCTCTTCAGGTTTAGCAGTCACATTTTCATCACCAGAGCCAATTTAAAGGATGCTTTATGTTGGCTCAGGCCTGACTAGAGAGGTTTCAGGGGGAGCAAAGGTATTTACTGTCCTCTAGCAAGGAAGGGAAAGGAAAACAGGAAAAGGATGGGGCCACGGTATAGACTCTGCCAGGGCAGGCCCATCCAGGGACCTACTTAGTCCTCGCCTCTTAGTTCCTACTCCCCTATGCCACTAAATTATAAAAACACCCATCAACTAATCAATTATAGCTTTCATGATCTGGAAAAAAAAAGCCCCTTCCCAAAAGCCCATCAGGTTCCAGCAGCTTTTAACTGAAGGGTTTTCAGGGGACATTTCAGGCCCAAACCACAACACGGAACATTACTCTTCAGATGCCATAGCATCCTGCTATGTATATGTAGCCCAGGCTAGCCTCGGAGCCACTCATCTTCCTGCCTCTACTCCTAGAGTACTGGAACTGTATTATGCCCAGCAAAAACAAATCTCTTTTGAGGTTTACTTCTTCCTCTTGGGCCTCAGTGTCTAGTTTGGGGGTGATAACAGGCCCTGGTAAATACTGGGGTTCAGTTCTTTAACCTTGGATATAGGAGGATCAAGAATTCAAGGCCAGACTATGTTCACACAGGAGAGTCTAATACAAAAAAACAAAAACACACAAACAAAAACCCAAGGCTGAGGATATGACCCAGCAGTTAGAAACACTTGTTACTCTTGCCAAGGACTTGAGTTTGGCTCCCAGCACCCACATGGTGATAGAAAACCAAATTCAACTCCTATAACTACAATTCTAGGGCACCCAACACCCTCTTCTAACCTCCGGGGCAGACATATGCATGCAAAACACTCTTACACATGAAATAAATCTAAAACATCTTTTTTTAAAAAAAAAAAAAAACCAGCCAGTAGATTAGATTGTAGAAGTTCGCAGCCCACACTGATGTTAAAGATAGCTGGATGCCTGGCAGTGGTTAGCCACTCACCACTACATGAACTGGGTCTGGCTATCTCTCAGTGACCCTGAAGCAAGAGACTTAAGATAATCACTACAGAGGCCCAGGCACCCAGCAGAGCCTACTCTTGTTGGCTTTCATACTTTACAGCACAATTATAATTTAGATGTGGCAAAATGCACCCAGAGCTGGTGGAGCAAGTGGAACTTCCAGGCTGACACAGAGGGAAGTGGAAGTCACCCTGACTTGAGCTGGGGCTGAAGCAGATGTGGTCAGACCTTACACATGCTTTTTTGTGTGCATTATCAAATTGCAATATGCTTTTCCTCACTCGGGAACAAATCTGCCAGCTCCCAAGTCTACTCATCACTCAGCAAACCCAGTGTTTACCTGTGATCAGAAGTAAATGCACAAACCTAGCTGGTCAGAGGAAGAGTAGACGAGGCAGAGTAAAGACATAGTAGTGGTTGGTCAGAGGCAGAGGCAAGGTGGATCTCTGAGTTTGAGGCTAGCCTGGTCTGTAGAACAAGTTCTAGGATAGCAAGGGCTACACACAGAGAAACCCTGTCTCGAAAAAAACAACAAAAACCTTAGTGACTGCTCTGTCTCAAAAGCACAGTGGGTCCAATCAAGAATTCAGTTTGGGGCTGGAGAAATGGCTCAGTGGTCAAGAGCGCTGGCTGCACTTGCAGAGGGCCTGGGTACAATTCCCCCGCATCCACAAGGCAGCTCACAACTGTAACTCCTGTTCAGGGCATCCAACTCTTCACACAGATATTAGATGCAAGCAAAACACCAATGTTCATAAAATAAAAATAATTAAAAAGAATTCAGTTTGACTTTAAAAATAAAAACAAACAACTTTATTTGACAAAAGACAAAAACCAGTTATTTACAGTAGTTTTTTGCTCAAATATTGTTCAATGGGACAACCATGCTTCTCCAGATTTATCTTTACAAGCAACCTAAGCAGAGACTGTCCCACCCCTCAGATGCCCCATTTTATTCCAGGAGGGGGGAATGCCAGAATATGTCAGCAGCATGGCTCCCTCCCCCCTCCCCTGCTCAGTGCACTGTGGGGGAGAAAACTCCCGCTCATCCTAGTATCACCCCTACTGTAGGCCTTCTGCAGCAATCACGGGATCTAGGCTCACGGACAGTGGGGTACAAGCGGGCAAACAGCAAATTCTACAAAGCTGCCATGTTCATCCTTCCCCAGCAGTGCCTTGAGGGGGTGAGGATGCCAGATCTCTTGGAGGGAGGCAAGAGATCCAGCCTAGGAAAGCAATCCCCTACAGAGAGCAAATCTCTCAGTTCCCACTTGCACAGCAAGGGATGGAGCTAAACCACTCAGGAGAGGTAGGGAAGCCTATATGAGTGGCAGGGGGCTTCCTAGAAAGGCCAGAATGGTGTTGTGTTTCTCTGGGACAGGCACTCTAAGTCGGTGAACACCCAGGAGCCCCTTCTCTGTGTTTACAACCTAGTAAACGTCAGGAAATTATAGTCAGGGCTTCTCAAATCTTCTGGTTATTCAGAACACAAATATTTTGGTTAATAAAAACCTAGGATTAGTGTTTCTTAAGATATATAAAGATGGGGTATACTGTTGCTGAAAACTAACAAAACAGCAAAGTAAAAAAGGGAGGGAAGGGAAGAGATCAAAACCACGTGTGATCTGTTTCCCTGGGAAATTTAGGCAGGCCCTTGCAATTCCAATTTGAAAGGAGGTGAAAGAGACCCGCTCCCAGGTGCTGGGCCCCTTTCCCCACGAAGGTCCCAGCTACTTTTGTGAACAGTGGCATGTTTGAAGGGCCTCCTGACCAGCAGATGGCTCACTTTTCCCAAAGCAGGAGATGCTGGTGCTTTCGACATCTGGCCAAACTCCTGAATGACTCCAAACAGGCTACAAAAAAATAAGGGGAAGGGGGAGACAACACCCTTCTCAAAAGAGAGAGAGAAAACAAAAGCTGTTTCAGTCTAGCTCAGCCACCCCCAAATACAATAAAAACAAGTGTGTCTCTGGGTTTTAGCATCCGTCTCTGATGTGTCTAAATGGCTATCTGGTTCAGCTGGGTTTGGCTGTGGCTTTATCCCCTTCTGTGCCTGGTGTAGTAATCCAACACCTGTAGGTATTTTTCTTGTCTTTTACAATAGAGTAATCCAAACCAAGAATCAAACAACCACTTCCAGCTGGAATTCAGCACAGCTGCAGCTATTCTGCTGGTCCCTTATACAATCACCCCGGTGCAGCGGCAGATCACCCGTCTATAAAGCTCCATCGCATAAGGTGCTCTCTCCCCACACCTGTGCTTCCGGGCTACCTACTGCCATCGACAGAGCACAGCAAAAAGAAAAGAAACAATTTAGCAAAAATCTAAACATTCAACTGAAGTCGGTTCTGTGACATCTGCTGGGCCTTTTCTTTCGAGTAAGCTGGAATGTGCACGCACACCTGGCTTGACCAAAAGAGGCACAGCCTAAGGGCAGCTTGGACCCAGCTCAAGTCTGAACTTGGCAGGTTTCCTGAGCCTGCCTAGGAAAGCGGGTCGGAGTGCAGGTGTCCCAGGGCTCTCTGGAGAAGCAGCAGCAGCACCATGCCTGGCTCTGGTGCCTTTGTCTCCTCCGATAGGAAGCTTGAAGGAATGCAATCAGCAGAGCACAGGCCCCGTAACAGTGCAGAGACACCAGCTGCTGTCTCTCTGCTGAAGACCTCTGGACAGATGATCCCGATGCTTGGCAGTGATCCATAGATAGCCCTCTGTATGAAGGGGAAGTGAACCAGGAACCTGGGACAGCTGGCTTGAACCTCAAGCCGCCTGGTAGCAGGTGCCTACTTGGCATTTTCTGAGACTAGAGGAAGGGAAGCATGTAGTAATGGGGGTGCCGGACCCTGCTGCTTCTGAAGCTCCATTTCAGCGGCCCTCTGCAGCGCCACTTCCACCAGCAACTGGAAGCTGCTGAAGTCTTCCTTGTCCTGCTCTGGGGGTGTGGGTGGCGGCGTATTGAAGAGTCCACCTGTGGGGCTTCCAGCCTCAGCTCTAGTCAGCAGGGTGAGCGTGCTCCCAGGGGTCACCAGAGCCTTAGGGGATTCCAGCTCCACTTGTGGGTAGGGGGCTGCTGGCTTTTCACCTTGGCCTGAGTGGAGCGGCACGGAGCAGACAGACAAGGAGAGCATGTTGGTGGGAGCCGGTACAGACACAGCCAGCAGGGAGGGGCTGCTGCCCCTGGGGAGAGCCACATCAGAGGTCTTACCCCCACGGCGGGAAATGGTGAACTGATTGGGGTCTTTGCCATCCTTCCGAAGCATGTCTGGGAGAAGGCGACGCCGGGCATTGATGAACCAGTTACATATCTAAAACAAGTGTTAAGAGACTCATCAGTTAGCTCCATTCAAAACAGCTATGTAGTGTTTATCTAAGTTGTTCTATTACCAGTAAAGACTCGGGAGTCAGATATTTCAGATATCGGAGCGAAAACCTGCTAGATCCAAGAAGTCAAGAAAGAGTGACCTGCTGATCTCTCTGCACTTCCCAGACCAAAACGGGGCTCAATAAAAAGCCGAGGATCTCCAAGTCTCTCCCTATGCCACTCTCCAATCCTAGGTCCTCCATATTCTCCATCACTAACTCTTGTTAATGAGTTGCTGGCTCCGCCCCGATTCAAAGTTAACTTTGTTAAGTAACACAGTCTTGGGATGTCACAACACAATCAAATACCCTGCAACACAACTCTACAGTGCTCACTGTTCCAGATACCAAGACACAGCAGCAAACAATAGACAAGATGCTGGCCAGTGGAGGGATGGGGCAGTGGTGTTGAGGAAGCTAATGGTGGTGTGGACTTGAAACAGCCTCTGAGGAAGTGGCTCTTCAGCTGAAATCTAAAAGGCTGATGGGTGTGACCGGACACACCTTTCATCTCAGAATTTAGGAGTCACAAGGGGGGGGGGTCTCTGGGAGTTCAAGGCCAGTCTTGTTTAGATAAAAGTTCCACGAAAGCCAAGGCTAAATAATCAGACTCTATTTCAAAATAAATAGGAAATCTGGAAGGCAAGCGTTGAAAAGGGAGATGGGTAGGGAGCAGGAGCAGTGCAGTAGAGTACTTTATGAAAACACTGCTGAAGGCAGGCATGTGTAGCTGGGCTCAGTGTGGTTACTGAGGTCACCTCTTAGCGTGAGGATTTAGTCTTTCTATGAACAAAGGGAGCTGTGAGTTGTGTTTTTTATTTATTTACTTTTTTGAGGCAGGGTTTCACTTGGTAGCTGTTCTGGAACACACTCTATAGACCAGGCTAGCCTTGAACTCAAGAGAGCTCTACCTACCTCTGTCTTCCAAGTGCTGGGATTAAAGGTGTGTAACCATCCTGCTTGAGTTTTGTTTTTTGAATCAATGTGTGCGTGTGCATGCACACTCACACTTGAGTGTATGCATCATCTGCCTGTAGAGTTCAGAAGACAGTTTGTGGGAGCTGGTTCTTTCCATCTTGTGGGCCTACCTAGGCATTGAACTTCAGGTCACCAGGCTTTATGCACTGGACCATCTTACCCTCAGGCCACCTTACCGGCCCCACAGAAGGGTTTAAGCAAAGGAGTGACCTATTATGTAGACAACAGACTGGAAGCAGAGATGGGATGGTAGTTCAGATTACATTAGGGGAGGTGAAGGAAGAAAAGGTTTGATCCGTTTAGAAACTGGCTTCCAGGCCAGATGTAGGCGGGTATAGCAAGAACGATGCTGAGAGTGACTTACTCCTCAGCCTATAGAGCTGTTCTAGATCAGAGGGACACAGGGATACCAGGGGAGCTGTCAGGGAGAGGAAGGATTGTTTCCAAGCAACACCAGGACCATGAGGCTTGCTACCCCTCGTGGTATGGTGTGACATGCTACAAAGCTCAAGGTGCCTGTAGGCTGCCCTGTCAGCACCCATAGTCTTGCTCATGTTAGGCAAGTGATATATCACTGAGCTAATCCCCAGCCTAAGACTCTTTTATACCCCCAATTTCTGCTGGGCGCTGGTGGCACATGCCTTTAATCCCAGCACTCAGGACAGGTGGGTCTCTTTGAGTTCGAGGCCAACCTGATCTACAGAGCAAGTTCCAGGACAACCAGAGCTACACAGAGAAACCTTGTCTCGAGAAACAACAACAAAACACCCCTAGCTTCACGGTTCTCTTTCTGACCTCTTGGCTAGTGTAATATTCTGCAAAGGGCAATGGCTGGCGATCCCAGCTAGAAAGAGGCTGTTTGTCTCCCACTGCCAGCCTGGGTCCAGATTCCTGAGCCAGGCACTAAAGCCCTCCTGCCCCATCTCCAAACCATTCCCTCCTACTCTTCTGCTGTGAGCATGTGAAACAGCTTTTTGGGCCCTGCTCATTCAAAACAAAACAACAAAACACACAAGCCAGCCTTTAGTCCCAGCACTCTGGAGACAAAGGCAGCAGATCTGAATTCTAGGACAGCCAGGGCTGCACAGATAAGCTGTGACAACCAAACCAAATCAAGCTTCCAAACAACTCTATCCCTTCTACATAACACAGTCCCTTTTTTCTGGGATGCTTTCTCGCCTACTGGTGGACAGAGGTGCAAGGCTCCATGTCTCCAAGGCAGAGTTCTCCAACAGCCGCCACTCACTCAGCACAGTGCATAGGATTTCCTTCCAACCATGAAATGGGTTGGGCTGTCTCCAGTTTCCCTGGTGAGCCGATTTAAAGCTCAGTGAGGCAGGAACCATGATCCCACCTGGCAGAAAAATGTCTCTCCACATCTGTCTCAGGACCAGAGCCCAGCTGCTGTAGGGCCTAGAATAGCTGGGTTAGAGCCCCCTCCTTTCCCTGCTCTCTTTCAGGGCTTCTTTTCACATCATTTGTTTGCCTACTGTGTGTCAGGCAGTCACTGGTGCATGCTGGGGCTGCCATAGAACACTTGTGTCCCCTGCCCTGAGGTGCTAACATCTACCTGGTTGTGCAATGGTAGTAAACAAATAGGTGAATGACCCAGAAACAGGAAGGAATAGTATATAAACCCAAGAGATCCCTCTCTAACTACTTCCTGTTGGCCATGAAACGCCCCCCCCCCCCACTACTGTAATGCCACCGCTTCCTAACTAACCTAGAAACAAAGAGCAAGTGACCACGAACCAGGCCCCTGCAACTATGAGCAATAAAAACAAACCCTTCCTTAATTAAAATCAGTATTAGTCATCAGAGAGACAGGCTAAGGGATCTGTGTGAAAGTGTCATTAAGGCCAGGACCAATCACATAGAGCACCGGGGAAACGGTAGCAAATGCTAGAAGGCCACTGAGCCAGTGAAGCCAGCTGAGATGGTCTGCACCTGTAATACCAATACTGGGAGGCTGCGGTAGGAAGTTCTGGTCGAGTTTGAGGTCCACTTGGCTATTTAGTAAGACCCTGCCTCAAGCAAAAGGACTAATGGACAGATTGTGAATGTGTGTTGCCCAGGAGTCTGGGCAGAATGAACAACCAAGTTCAACAAACCCCACATCCAACAACAACAAAATCGACAAGGAAGAGAGGACATGGAAAATGGTGGGCTCTTGGTGGCAGGGCTGACCTCACTAGTTGGGAACACCATGTGGTCTGACTGAGGTTTACATGCTAAATCCTGTTGTCCTGTTAGTTGATCAGCAGATACACTCAGAGTCTGTACCAGCTGCTATAGGAAAGGAAAGAAGGGTCAGTAGGAAAGCTTTCTTCTTACTTCCCAAGAGCTGTACCAATGCGTCATACTTCCCTACTGTCTGCTTAGGAGACCAGAGACCCAGGCTCTTGTACCCATACCCATCTCTGTCCCTGCTTTCAGGCTTCTTTCTTGGTAGTCTCTTGAGGAAGCCTTTGGGTATAGTTTTCCCATGGGCTCTCTGCCATGTCTAGCCGTGCTGGAGACTGATCTGCAGCAGGCGCAGCTGGCAAGTTACACCATCCCACAGAAGAGCCCTGTCAGGCTGACCGGAGACAGGCACCTGTGGCCCTTCTTTCCCTCTCTGCTCTACCTTCAGGAGGGCCTGCCCCTGAGGATTTGTACCTCACCTCGCTGGTTTCCCCAGGGTCACCAGGCACACCCACGTAGACAGACACCAGTAGGACGGCACTGGCAGACACTGGCCAGGTGGGCTGCCCTGCTGGCTGGGTGGGAAGGTAGGAGAAACAAGCTTAAGCACCTTTAGCATCGGTGTCTTCCCAGCCACTTCATGGACAGTCTGCTGAATGTGCAGGCAAGGCTGTGAGGTAGTAGGCAGTACCCTGAGAGCCTTAGAGGAGGGAGTAGAGATGAAGAGATGTGCCCAGTCGCACTGCCTTGGGATGCTCGCCCTCTTGGTTAGAGGTCTCTCTCTTTGCTCGTCCCCTACAGGGACAGCCAAGTAATTCTCACAGCCTTAAGAGATTCGTTCAAGCATGAAACCTCAGCTCCACACGGACCTGCTCACTTGGTCATCACCATTCTATGACGCGGGGTTTGTGACGACCTCCACTGTTGAAGCGGTAGCCATTGCTAGGAGTCCAGTAACTTTCCCGTAGGTCTCAGGTTTGAAGGCTGCAATATGACTGGCCAGTTACAGGGAGTGAACTTAAGACCCTTTCTCCCACCAAGGGCAGCACCTGCCCACCTGCTTCCTAGTCCTGCCTCCCTCAGTCATCTGTAATAGGAGCCATACATCTCTCTAACTTTACCTCTGGTGTGAGGTGGAGGGAGCAGGGAACAGGGATTGTTTTGGTGACCTGTCTAGCACAGCTGGGAGGAATGTCACTGTGAAGAAAGTAGGAAGGCTTTCTGGGTACCAATCAGCAGCCGTGTGGGCACACAGTCCCAGGACACCCCCCTCCCCAGTACCCCGATGCACAGATGTATTGTAGACTATCGCTTTGCCTTCCTGTCCCATAGAACTGCACATCTGCGGGGAACTAATGGCAGTACTCTGTGATTGTTGGCTAAGCTCTACATGCTCAACCCTTCATCATAGATTTCTTCCACCATCCCCCACCCCAGTACTGGGGATTGAACCCAGGGCTTCATGCATATTAGTTAAGTGCCCTACCACTGCCCTACACACCTACTCCTTGAAGAGATTTAAAAAAAAAATCTGTTAGAATAGCTATTTCCTATCTGGCTTATGGATTTGGGGCAGGGAGAACGAGGTGGAGTTGACAAGCTGTTTTTGTTGTCTCTACCTACCTACCTCTTTAAAAATGGGTCTCACTATGTAGCCCATAGAACTTGCTAGGTCCATTTTTCCCCCTCAGAGTCTCTATAGCTCAGGCCACCCTGAACTTGTGGCAATCCTTCTGGAGATCACAGATGTGAGCCACCACCTCCATCTGACAATACATGCTTTCATGTTTTTAAACAAGGGCCTCAGAGAGCTGTTATCCAGGCTTAGGAACATCCGTTTCTCCCCTGGTGTAACCTGTTCTTGTGAGTGCTGACAGTTCTTTTATTCAAGTAAAAAAATGTCACACAGAAGCTCAAAAAATACACCAAAGGGTATTGGGAACAGGCGACATGTTGCCTGTGGAAGCCCCAGCTTGGTGAGGACAGTACATACAGTGTCTACCTGTACTGGGGGTCAAGCCACACCTTCCATCCGGCTCACATAGGCTCCTCTATTACCCAAGGGCATTACCAGGGGCCTGCTGCTCAGGAGAGACTGAAATGAAGGGAGGGCCTAGTAGGGAGGAGCCTGCCTGGCTGCCTTCAGCACACAGAGACCTCCCGTGCAGACCAGGTGGTGGTGAAGCTGGGACCCTCCAGGCAGTCCAGTAAACAGGAGCCTGGAGGAGTCCAACCAATAACTGAGTATTAACTGTCAAAAGGACCAGTGAAAATCCTCCACAAGAGATCTTCTTTAGGGTTTGTCTCCCAATTGCCTGGCTCAGGGCAAAACCCAGCAAACCATTTACTTACATGACTCATTGACTTGCTAATGCATGGCTCCAGGGCAAGTTAAAAGAGACAATCAAAAGAGAAGCTCCCTGGAGAAGAAACCAGCTTGGCGGCTGCAGACACCTGTTGGGGCCAGTGGTGAGTGCATCTGAGTTCTCTTCCTTTGGGGCAAGGATTGTGGCTTAGTGGCAGTTTGGAAGCCTCCTTAAGAGCAAAGGACATTTTGAAAGCGAATACGGACAGGGACATCTGGGGATTTGTGACTGAGGAGCTCCGACATTTTCTCTTTGAACATTCCATTTTCTGCAGCCACAGTTACTGACCATTCAGATAAGGATCAAAACCACCCAGGGTGGAGCCATAACAACAAAACTAAGGCCTCTGCTCCCCACCCCCTCGGGACTCTGCCATCTGAATGCCCCAATTCTGTGGAAACACCTGACTTCTTTAGAGGTTGGGATTCCCTGGTCAGAGTAAGGAGTGTGGTAATTGGTACACAGCCAGAATGTGGGTCAGAGAGACCTATAGTAACCAGGTAAGTGATGGGAGTTAGGCTGGCAGGAGCCATAGGATTTTGTCTTGAGTGACAGGCGATCTGTCAGCGATGACAAGGGAACGCATGGGATCAAGTCTCTGAAAAAGGGAGCCAGGAGCTGACAGTTTTCACACAGGTACTTTAGGCTGAGTCTTGAGAAGCACACTTCTGAGGCTAATGTGGGTTGAGTGTAGGCATCTTCAGGGACTGCCTGATGGTCTCCACTGGTCCCTGACTCTCAGTATAGTCCAGAACAGGTGGCCATCACTGGGATCCAGTGGCTGATCCCTGCCCTGTACTTGGATGCTGCGGTCCTAGGGAACCCACTGGTCTTTACAAGGATGTTTTGATTTTTCTCTCCAAGCTAATCATGAGTAGGCACATCATGTCAATGACACAGCAGGGGCAGGTGACAGAATACACAGAGCAGTTAGGGGAAATTTCATTGCTCTTTGTTTTCCTACTTTGGAAAATTAGTTTTATAGCTATATATGAGAACAAAATTGAACGTTTTTAAGTCAGTTTTGTATTTGTACACACTTAGGACATAGTAAGAATGATTTAAGCTAATATCTTGAGGGGAGGCAGGACCACAAGAACAGCTCTTTCATGCAATGCTGGGCAACCCTGTTCCTTTGGTGCGCTAGGCAAGTGCCTTACTCAGCCCAATTTCCCAAAAAGGGGCAGGACATCCCTCAGGTTTGAGAACTAGTGTCCCTGACAAGAAGCAGTTCCAATACAGTTGACAAGTGGTTTGACAGGGACAGGTGTGAGGAGCATAGGAATGTCAGCAATGACTCAAAACAGGCTGCAGGCCAGAGCGTCCGCAAGACAAGCACCCTGCCAGGGGGAAACAAATGTGCCCAGATGCTCATGACCAGACGCCAGTCCCAGGAAGAAGTGAAAAGGAAGCTGGGGTGCTTTGAAGTCTGGATCCCATGAGGATAGTGGGGTCCCTGTGTGTGGCATGAGCAGATTTGTAGTTCTGTGACTGAAGGATAAAGGCAGGAGGCAGGGGGACCAGGGGACTGTCTAGGCAGTTTTGCTCTCAAGTTCCAGGCCTTTTGTTTTTGCCTATGTGCCTCTAGGGCCTGTAAGTTCAAAGCCACTTCCGAGGGGTTCCTACTGGGAGACCCCAATCTCTGCCCCTGTCTCCTCTGCCTTTGTCCCAGGAATCATCAATCTGTACCCCACTGCTCCCCTCCCCCTGCAGACTAGATGCTCCTTAAGGTATGGTAGAAATAGGAGCTGGGCCCAATGAAGGAGCCCAGAATGTAAATATGAAATGTTCCATGGTGCAGAGTGCCCTGGCTATGAACCCCTGGAGGACAAGAACGAGAGGAGAGGCAAGCACCCCAAACGGTGTTGGAAATCTTGAGAATGCTCCAAGCTTCTTCCCATTGTCAGCTGAGGAAATGTGGCTGAGGGAGACAATAGCAGCCTGGCTAAGGGCCAGAGTCCTCTTAGGAAGGGGTAGGATGCCAACCAGCCCTTTAAGAATCCAGACCCGGTCTCAGGACAGACTTGGGCTAGCCACTAGGTTAGGCTGAATTTTGCAGGCTGACAGCTTACCACGCCTTTTCAAGGAAGGAGGAATAAGAGTTGGGAAAGAAGTAGCAAGGTCAGAGTGGAGTGAGGAAGGAGGGAGCCAGTGAGCTGGAGAAAGGAGGAAAGGACAGGAGGAAAGCTACTGGCTCAGGAAAGGAACTGAGAAGCCAGCACGACAGGGACAAGTCCCTGGTGCCAGGCCAAGGGCCCACTGCATGATCTCCTAGGGAGGTAAGGTCCTGAGCAGGTCAGCATTATGGAAACAGAGCAAAGCCTTCTGTGGGTCAACAGGACAACTAAAAAGAGACATTACTTCAAGAGCAAACATCTCGAGTGTGGCCTGTGTGTTGTTTACAAAGGTTCTTATATAGCCAGTCCAAAATCTGTTCCTCCGAACAGTTCCACCAGGCACTGGAGAGAAACATCAGGGTCCTCTTCTTCCTGGGATCATAGGTATGTACCAACCTGTCTACCTCCAGCTCAATTTTTAAAAATTTTTTTATTATTATTAAGACAAAATTAGCCAGGTAGTGGTGGCGCACACCTTAAATCCCAGCACTTGGGAGGCAGAGGCAGGCAGATCTCTGTGAGTTTGAGGCTGGTCAGATCTACAAGAGCTAGTTCCAGGACAGCTAGGACTATTAAACAGAGAAACCCTGTCTCAAAACAAACAAAAAGAAAATTATTCATGGGAGTATGTGAGCCTCAAGAGGCAAGAAACCGTTGCATCAGTTGGAGCTGGCTGATAACGGTGCAGAATCAAACTTGGATCCACGGAAGAGCAGGAAGTGCTCTTAACCACTGGGTCATCTCTTCAGTCCCTTCAATTCAATCTTTGAGCCCACTGCAGAACCCTGTTGTCCTGCAATCAAGTCATAGCATAGTGGGCTGCATAGAATCTCAGCTGCTCAGCACCTTCCCACCTTCAAGGTCAGCAATGGCACTAGTAACAATTCCTTATCCCTTCAGAAGACCAACAGCCAAGTCCAGCTGCAGTGACCCCACTTGACTGTGTGTTCTCATCTTCCTGCACAGGGGAGCAAGGGCGGAGCTAGAGACTAGTGCATGGTCCTGTCTTACCTGCAGCACCGAGAGGTTGGTCTGTCCGGAGAGACTCAGCTTCTCCTGCTCTGAAGGGTAGGCATTGTAGCGGTGCAGATACAGCCAGTCCCGGAGGATCTTTACCGACTCCTTGGGCAGGTTCCCCCTGCGCTTCCTCTTGCCAGCCAGTGACAGAAGGCCTTCATCCTCACCTAGGTCGCTGTCCGACATGGTGCCTAGGGGCTAGGCTGGACCTCTGGGGAGCCTAGGGCAAGTGACAAAGGGGATGGGAATAACATTACCACTTAAGCCTGTCCCCTAACGAATCCACCAGCATAAAAATTAGTCAGAGTTCCAAATTTTGGACACTACCATAGCCTGAGCAAGGATGGATGCTCAGCAAAGCTGAGCAAGGAAGGACAAACACTAAATACCAATTCATGGAACAAAGAAAGGGACTACTCAAACGTGTGGCACCTCCTTGGTCTACAGAGCTAGTTCCAGGACAGGCTCCAAAACCACAGAGAAACCCTGTCTCGAAAAACCAAAAAAAAAAAAAAAAAAAAAAAAAAAAAAAAACAGAATAGGACTCTAAAGGACTACAGCTTTCCACTGTAGTTCCACTGAGACAGGGTCTCACTAAAAGGCCAGGCAGGTCTTGAAATCATGATCCTGTCTCTGCTCCCCCTCTCCCCACTGTCAATGCCCAGTTTGAATTCTGCTTTCCAGGCTGTCCTGGAAACTTACTATTACCTCTTGTGGTAATAAGGAGAAACTTACCATTTTATACATGAGGGAGCAGATTAAGAAAGCTGCCAAAGGCACCAGGAGTTACCACATGACCCTGAATTCAAACACATACACGGGGCCATGCTGACGCCTGTGCACAAATGTTCACAGCGGCCAAAAGGTGGAAACTATCAAGACTTTCAACAGATGGCGGGACAAATGAATTATCTGGTCATAAGAAGGAGTACAGTGGGACTGGAGAAATAGCTCAGCAGTTGAGAGTTCTGGCTACTCTTCCAGAGGACCTGCTTCAGTTCCCAGCACGCAAATGGTAGCTCACAACCATCTGTAACTCCAGTTCCAGGGGATTCAATGCCTTCTTGTTACCTCTGTGGGCACCCATGTGTAGACAAAACACTCATACATATAAAACAAATAATTAGAAAAGAGAGTACACTTCGGTGCTTGCTACAACATGGCTGGATTAGCAGTTAATTAGGGCTGGGGGGACAGAAAGGCATTAGCCTTTGTTTTTATTTATTTTAAAATTTTATATACTATAATATTCTTTTTTTTTAATTTTTTTAATATTTATTTATTATGTGTACAATGTTCTGTGTCTATGCCTGCAGGCCAGAAGAGGGCACCAGACCTCATTACAGATGGTTGTGAGCCACCATGTGGTTGCTGAGAATTGAACTCAGGACCTTTGGAAGAGCAGGCAATGCTCTTAACCACTGAGCCATCTCTCCAGCCCCCTATACTATAATATTCTTTGATCAATATTATCTTCTTACACTACTCTTTCTTCCTCCCAAGGTTTTATTTCTTTTCTTTAATGCATATAGATGTTCTGCCTAGTATATGCCTGGGCACCACAGATGCAGTACTCTGGGAGGCCAGGAGAGGGAGGAGGATCCTCTGGAATTGGAGTTACAGATGGTTGTGAGCCTGTGTCTGTGCTGGGAACTGAACCCAGGTTCTCTGCAAGAACAAGTGCTCTAAAACCACCGAGTCATTTCTCCAGCGCCACCCCCCCCCCCCCAGCTTGCTCTTATTTAAAACTGACTTTCTGGGGCTGTGCCTTCCCCACACCCACACAGCAGCTCACAATCATCCATAAATCCACTTCCAGGGGTGAGGTGTCCTCTTCTGACCTCTGAGGTACACATGCGTATGTGCAGGCAGAACACTCATACACATAAAGTTTAGAAAGATTAAACCTGAAAATACTAAAAAAAAATTATAAAGTAGTATTTAGTATCGGGTAGTTTTCCTTCCAAGGCCTAGAGGCAGGCCTGGAAACTGTTCACGATGGTCCTGCGGCCAGCTACTGTGGAGTGCAGGGAGTAGTGAGTCATTCCTATGATTGGTTCTTAGACCCTCTCCGGGGGGTTGGGTCTCAGATCCAGAGCAATGAGGTGTGGCTCTGGTCCCTGCTTCAGCTTCCGCTGTGCTGTGTGATCCTAGTTAGGTGTCCTCCTTTCTCTGAATCTGAAGCCCTCCTTCCTTCCCTGTTCAACGAAGTAAGTTTTCTGCCTAGATAGCTCACATCAGCTGCTCCTCCACCAAAGTTCCTGTTCACAAAAGCAAAAGAAATTTACATTTTAAAAGCACAAGTTCTAGGCTAGGGCTGTGCCAGAATCTCAAGGCTCCTCCCTTTCTCTGCCTTTTAACAGCTCCCCAGCAGGCCTAGCCAACAGAGTCTGGCATCGCTCAGGTTTTGTTTCCTCGACTTGGGCCTGAGCCCAGATCTCTGGGCTGGCTAAGCCAGACTTTCGAGGGAAGGGTCTACCTTCAGCCAGGCCACCTGGAGGCGAACCGGGCACTGCTCAGAGGTACTGTTTCTCAAAGTATCACAAATGGTCTGCTTTCTGAGAGCAGACATTGCATTTCAGTCACCAGGACAGCTGGGACAGCAGTTCAGGGATGCAGCCCTGGCAGTTGTGAAAAGTTTACTGAAGGTCATCTTTACAAATTCCACTCTGGCTGCCAGCCAAGAATCCAGTCTTCAGAGTTCCCAGTGTGAGGCCAGAGGAGGACCCCTCAGAGGGAACTTTTCCACCTCTGCATCCTGCACCCCAAGCTCGCCTGCAGGTTTCCCATACAAACACATCCCAGTAATGCCTCGATTTTAGCCGTGCAAGTTTAACAGTGCTCAAACAACCGACCCGACCCACTGCTCACATCCCACAAGCTCCCCAAGTTTTACGAACGCACACAATTTACACTCCATACCTAGGACCAACGACTACAACGACTCTTAAGATTAGCCTAACTCCTGTACCCGCCCACCCACGAACTCCAAGTGACCTGCCCACCCACGATCTCTCCGACCGAGGAGCACGCACGTCATCATACTAGTCATCCATCAGCTTTCACCCTAACTGGGTTATTGGCTGCACCTCTTGGACCCTGCACCCCAAGCAATCTCCTACATACTCCCACCATACCATCTGCTGCAGCCACTCCCACAGGAACTTTCTGACAACTCTCCCAGCTCCAGATTCTCTCCCCCGGGCCGCACACTGAGGTTTAAGTTCTCAGCAGTTCACACAAAGCGCGCAACCTCCCCCGCGGCCCAGGCGCAGCGGAGCACATGGCTCATGGGGCGCCACCGAATCGGCCCGCGCTCAAGGCACCCTCACCCCTCATAACTCCCCGCCCCCTCCAGATTCACGAAGCATGCAACAGCTCCTCTGCCGGCCCGCCACCTGGCCCGGGGGAACTCTGCAAGAAAAAAAAAACTCACGTGTCCATTCTGGGGCAGGAAAAAGTTTGGCTCCCAAACCCTTCCCCGGTACTCCGCGCAGGCTGACTCTTGGGGCGCGGGGCCGTCGGAGCGTGCGCGCTCGGCTTTGTGCTCCGAACTCAGCCCGGAGGGGGAGGGGAAGAGAGGGGGCTGGGCTCCAACCTCCGCGCCGCCCCCCCAGCTCTGCGCCCAGACTCCATATTGGCCGCCCCCCTGCACCGGGGACGCGCACAGCCCCCGCAGAAGGCTCGACTGCCCCTCGCCTGGCCCCGGGGTCCCGGCGCGCACAAACTTTCTCCGCGTCGCCAGCCCCACGAGTCCCACAGTCTTGGCCCGCCCGGGAGTGACAGATGCCTCGGAGACAGACTTTCCTTTGTTCCAAAGGAAAGGGGAACTCGCGCGGGCTCCCCAGCCCTCCTCGTTGGGGCCCCGCCCGCGGCCCCCACCTCCAGCTGTCACTCGGCGGCCCCCGGTCCAGCTCGGCCGCCGAGGGGAGGGGGGGGGCAGCCGGCGGTTAGCAACGTGCACTTTTGAAACCAAACAAACCCGCTCCCCGCGCGCTCACTCCGCTGCGGGGCACCGGCCGCTCTCTCCCAGGATGGGATCTTTGGGAGCCGACTCCCCCCAAAAGATCCCGAAAGAACCCACTCCCCCGGACATCCCGCGCCAGAGCTCAGCGGTCAGGACTCACACACACCCCCGGGCTCACACACCCACTGTCGCACGCGCCGGGACGACGCCCCCTCCCCCGCCCAGCCGCCCCAAGAAACTTTCCAAGTTGTCCGCGCGCCCCCGCCCTCGTCCCCAGCCCTCCAGCACCCCGCACTCACCTTCCCCGGCGACTTTCCGGCCCACGCGGCCGCGAGGGGGTGTTGGACGGCCCGGCCGGGGCGGGGGGCGCCGGGGGAGCGCGCCGCGTACCTGCCGGGTCTGACACCCGCCTGACAGCTCGCGGCTGGAAAGCACCTCGCGACCTGACGTCAGATCCCCTCTCCTCCCACCGCGCCCGCCGCACCCTCCCCCACCGCCCCGAGGCAGAAACAAACTTTGTGCGGAGCGTGGCCAGCTACGCCCACCCCCGGGGGCGGGTCCGCGGAGCCGGGGGGCTTTGCCCCTCCCACGCGCCGGAGGGGGCGGGCCGGCGGCACCTCCTTCCTGCGCCCACCCACCTTAGGAATGCCACATGGCCCGGGCCGGGGGCGGAGCGGTGGGACCCGGACTCCAGGAGTCAGCTCGGGGGCAGGAAGTGGCCCGCTCCTCCTTTCGGAGAGCGTTTCCGGAGCGCCTACTGTGTGCGCCTCGCTGGGGGTGGGGCGCTGCCAGGCCACAAAGGGTGCGAGTCCCCGGACCTCTGTAAGTTCGTTCCCTCGTCGGGGTGCTTGTCCGTGTGGGGTTGGGGAAACTGAGGCTCTGGAGCTGCGGAGATGTAACACCCAGCTGCTCGGGGACCTGTGGGTTTGTCAGTCCGTAGGGTCGCGTGCGGGGGGGCGAGGCCACTTTGCCTAAAACCCTAAGCCTCGGGCCTAGCGCCGAGGGTCGGCCGGGTCGGGTGCAGCCTGCGCCCAGGAGTGCGGCTGAGGCGACCAGCGAGTCGCACTGGGAGGTGTGCGCAGTTAGGCTCTGGGTGCCGACCCTTACCACACCTGCCGGTGCCCTGGCCCAGGTGGGTCTCATGATGGAGCCCGAGCCTTTCCGTTGGTGGCTAGCCTTAGATGGAGCCGGAAGGCGAGCCGAGACTCTTCCAGCGGTCCAGGCCGGTGTCTTTTCCCTCATGCGTTCCTTGCCTGCAAGTTCCCCGACAGTCGGTTGTCTCTTGACTCTCTACCTAAGTATGGCGGGCCCTGACTCCAGATCAGAGAGGCCTTTTCTGGGTTTGTGGTCGTATAGGCCCAGAAACCTGAGACCCTTGTGCTGGTACCAACAGCATTGGAACAGTCTTTCGTTTTTCTTTTTCTTTAATTATCTTACCATCATTATTTTACTGTTGAGCTGGGGTCCCAGGCTGGTCTCAGACTTGTGATCTGTGCAGCTGCTTCCGCTACCTAAGCGACAGAAACTACAATTGTCCCTACAACATCCGGCAACAGCTTTGCTTTTTTTTTTTTTTAAATTGTACTCTAGTTGCAGAAACTTTGGGGGCAAAAGTTAAGTTTTCCTCCCAGAAAGTCCTAAGCTTTGGTGATAGAGTGTGAAATCCTAAGTTTCATGGAAGCCAGTCTGACTGAAAACGTTATCTACCAGCAATGCCACGCTGCTGCCCTTCTAAAATGTCGCTGACATTTCCCAGGATCCTCCTTTTCACCAACGGAAAAGCCAAAACCCAGAGATGGGCACAGCCATTTCTTGGCTAAGTGGTATTCCACCCATGGACCTGTGAGACAGTGAAGGAAGTGGGGAGACTTGGGTAAACAAGGTAAAACCTAATGGGCCTTGGCCACTAGGCTAGCTGTGTGCTGGAGGCAGGAACCTCTAGGGAAAGTGGTCTCATCAGACCTGGTTCCTAGCTGCTAAGCGAGTGCAGCAGGTAAGAGAGCCATCTATCTCTTCTCTATGGAGCAGGAGCCCCTGGTGGCCAGGGGCAAGCACACAGAACTCCCCACAGATTACATCAGTGGAAGCCCTGCTAGGCCAGTATTCCCAAGTCTGCTCAGCTGCGGCAGAGCTCTGAAGTCTCCCTGACCCTCACGGAAGGGTACCTGGCTGTTGTGAGGGAGTCTGGCTCTGTGTCTGAATTTCACATAAACAAACTCCCAAGTCTAAATATACTGTGAACTTGACAGTTGCTGGGTCAGTCTTGTCTGTAAATACAGAGTGAGATGTGTGCATTGCTACACCAGGCGGGATCCCACTGGGTTTTAATGTTTTTAAGGAGGCTTCACTGCGAAGCTAAAGCCCGCCTGAGGTGATTCTCCACAGCTCTGTTCTGGAAGATTCCTACGGCTGGGTGCTCTTCTGGGATCTGGATGGTTATTGTCAGCCACTGAAAAATGTCACGGTGTAAATCTGTGTGCTCTAAGCCAGATATGGTTATAGTGTTGTGCCTAGAAGGGCTTTGGCCAGACTAGTTGATAATTTTGACAAGAAAACTTTTTCCAACTGGTGTTTGTTTTGGTTTATGACAAAATGTCACTGTTACCCAGGCTGGCCTCAAACTCCCAAGCTCAACGACATTCTGCTTCAGACTCCCAGACAGCATGCTGTACATGGCTCAGCATGCCTGATGGTAAGTTACTGTTATTATTATTTTAATAAGATGGCTAGTCTTGCTATGTTGTCTGTCTAATCTGGAATCCTTGGGCTTAAGCTCATCCACTTCATCTTGGGTGCCAGGACTCTGTGTGTGCCCTGCACACCTGGGTGCCAGGACTCTGTTTGTGCCCTGCACACCTGGCTCTCATCTAGTTTTGTCACATGCACTCTTCTCTAACACACGTGAATTTGAAACCTAGCACCATGTATACTGTGTGTGGATACATACGTACGTGTGTGTGTGTGTGTGTGTGTGTGTGTGTGTGTGTATGTGTATGTGTGTGGCGTGTTGGTGCACACCTTTAATCCCAGCACTTGGAGGCTGAGGCAAGTGGATCTCTGAGAGTCTACTTAGTGAGTTCCAGGCCAGCCAAAGCTACATAGAGAGACCTTGTCTCAAAGGAGGAATGAAAAAAAAAAAGGCTGCATCTAGGGTTGGGGCTCTGCTCATGCATAAGGCCAATACCCAGTACTTCCATAAAACAAAAACGACCAAAAAAGGAAGCCATCCACTTGGTTTCCTTTACAGTCCAAAGGTAAAGGCAGGAGAATCGTGAGTTCAACGTCAGTCCTAGCTCAAGAGCAGTGGTTCTCAGCCTTCCTAACACTATGACCCTTTAATACAGTTCTTCATGTTGTGGTGACTGCCAGCCATAAAAGTTTTTCATGGCTACTTCATATTGCAAGTTTATTGTTATTAGTAATCGTAATGTAAATAATCTGATGTGCAGCCCCAAGGGGGTTGAGAGCCAGTGCTATAGAGCAGGAGTCCCTGTCTCAGAACAAAAACAGATGGAGAAGCTGCATCCCTGGAAGGAGAGATCTTCAGGATTGAGTTTTGTGGCGCACACCGAGGTTGTCTTTATCTCATTGTGGATTTCCACTGAACTGCGTCTTAAGAGTCTGCTGTGCTGTTGGTCAGTCACATGCGGTTAGCTTTCACTTGGCTGTTGGGTCTTCACTTATCCTAATTTCCCTGCGTCCACCCCTGGTGCCTCGGTGAAATCTAGATCCTGCATGCAAGCAAGTCTTCTCCCATCAAGCCACATGCAAGCCCCTATTTAATTAAGCATTTTTTGTGTGTATTTAGTGTGTTTGGGTGCATGTGGGGGTCAGAACATAATTCGCAGGGCTCTGGAGACTGAATTCAAGTTGCCAGGCTCAGCGTCAAGACCCCTTTCTTTACCCGTGAGCTATCGTGTTGGGCCCCTATTTAATTTTTCTTTCTTCCTTTTATTTATTTGGTCTTTTTTTTTTTTTTTTGGATTTTTCGAGACAGGGTTTCTCCATAGTTTTTGGTTCCTGTCCTGAGACAGGATTTCACTTGAGGGTTATCTGACACTCTTCTGGCCTCCGAGAGCACTGCATGCACGTGCATGGATATGCATGCGCATAAAACATCTATGCACACAATAATAAACCTTAAAGGGATTTAGAGAAAGCTGTTTTGAGACATGGTCTCACTATATAGCTCTGGCTGTCTGGAATACAGAGCAGGCTGGCCTCCAACTCAGAGATCCCCCTGCCTCTGCCTTCCTGAGTACTGAGGTTAAAGGAGTTTATGGTTTATGGTGGAAGTTTCCTCCCAAGTCCCCTACCCTGGAAGTTGCATCAGTCCAGACTCCACCCCTGAGAAAGCCCGCCAAACGACGACTCCTCCCTAGGGAGGATCAAGAAAGCCCGCCAAACGATGACCCCTCCCCAGGGAGGGTCAAGACCACCCCCTCAGGGTATTTAAGATGCCCCCCAGAGAACAAACACGTGCTTCTCCGGTCTTCCATTCTCTTCTCTCTGAGGAACTCAAAGGCACCCAGGAGCGCTGGTATTTATTAAACCTGGGCTATTTCTAATTTGGTTTGATTTGGTCTGATTTTAAACCTGGGCTGTTTCTAATTCGGTTTGACTTGGTCTGATTCGGATTATTGTGTCGGCGGAGAGGTTTATCGGGGCGCAGAAACTTTTCACTTACCTTTATTTATTTGCTATTTAAAATGTGTGTATGTGTGTGAATGTGGGTTTGTGCATGTGAGTGCAGTTACCATGGAGGCCAGAAAAGCCTTGATTTCCCCAGAGCTAAGTTAGTCAACCAACCGGATGTGGGTGCTGGAAATGCAACTTCGGTCCTTTGAGAGAGAAGCACGTGTTCCTCTTTGGCTCTAGCCTTGTGGCATTCTCTCGTGCCTGTCAGCACCCCCAGCAAGACTGTAGAAGTCAAGTAGGAATAGGCTCCTGAGTCAGAGAATTAATATCAAAGTTTTCTCTTTTGGAGGGTAAGTGCTCGTAGTTTTATACGGAGTCTACAGTCCAGGCTGGCCTTGAACTTGCTGCGTAGGAGAGGACCCCTTGCCTCTTTACCTCCCAAGTGCTGATACTGCGGGCCTGCACATCTCGTTTTATTGTTGTTTTTCTGTTGTTGTCTCCTGGTGGCGCTGGTGATGGAGGCTAGGGCCTTGCGCGTGTTTGCTGTACCTTTAGCCCCTGCCCTCCAGGCACCCTCCTTGCGTTTCTTAATGGCTTTTTGTGGTAACTGGTCCTTTGTTGCCTCTGGCATTTAACCTGGATTACAGCTTGCAGTAAGAATCTTGGTAGTTTTCTGTCTTTGTTTTTTATGAGGGTTTGTTGTTTTCTTTTATACAGGGTAAACTCAACAGAGTCTTCCTGCTTCTGCCTCCCCAGTGCTGAGTTTAAAGTCCTGTGCCCCCAAACCCAGCTATTAGTTTTTCTTTATCCTCTATCTTAAAGCACCTTTCATTGTATGACCAAGGAGTACAAAGGGTACATAGATGGTAGAGTAGTGGAAAACCACTGGATGTGGATGATAGTGGTGACAGGCTGACCTTTGTACTGTAAGGGCACTGCTGACTCAAGTGACTTCGGGAAAGCTTTTATTTATTTTTGTTGTTGTTTGTTTTTTTGAAACTGTAACATATTTTATGACTATTGTAATCATCAAGATGAACTGGATGCTGCAATAGCTGCCCTCTTAGGTTTTGGTGAGACAGTTTTTAGGGGCTTCATCCATCCAGTCCGGGTAGCGTGCCACCACTTGGCCTTGGCTCTCTGGTTGTTTAGAAATTTTCATTGTAACCATTTCAAGCCATTGCTTTTGTCTGCTGTGATTTCTCTCCCGGTGTTCTTTTCTGCTTGGTGGCCTTCATTCAGCCCTGGACATTTTTGTTGAACTAGCCAAAGCTTGAGTTAGGAACACATTTAGTTTTGACTTATTTATGGAGGCTGCAGTTATTGTTTTTTAAAGAGTTTAAGAGGCTGGAGAGATGGCTCAGCAGTTAAGAGCACTTCTTCCAGAAGATCCGGGTTCGTTTCCCAGCATCCACTTGGCAGCTCACAACTAACTGCTTGTAACTCCAGGATACATACATACGTGAAGGCAAAAACACCAGTGTATATAAAATAAAAATAAAATATTATAAGTAAAATAAAAATAATTTGAGAGTGTTTGACTTAGAAACCAATCTGTAGAAAATTATTCTAGGCATGAAATACAAATAAAAATGGAAGAAGTATGTTTTTTTTTTTTCTTTAGAATTTAATTTTTGAAAAGTTCTTGCCTGGTATGGTGGTGCTGGTGCACACTTTTAATCTCAGCACCTGAGAGGCAGATGCAGGCAGATCTCTGAGTCTGAGGCCAGCTTGGTGTACAGAGTGAGTTCCAGGACAACCAGGGCTACACAGAAAAAAAAAAACTTGTCCTGGGGGGGAGCAAGACACTCAACCAAAAACACCCAACAAAACTTCTGCGATTGGCTGTCACTCACTTAGTCTGGCCTTGAAGTTGCTGCGTAGGCGTAGCTGGCCTCTGACTGTCCGCCTTCGCCTCCCAAGTGCTAGGATTGCAGGCATGTGTCAGCCCACCCACTCACTCTAGGACTTGGTTTCTTTCCTTTTTTTAAGATTTATTATATTTTATGCTTATGGCTGCTTTGCCTGCGTGCATGTCTATACATTGTGTGCATGCAGTGCCCACAGAGATCAAAAAGGCTTCAGAGCCTTTGGAATTGGTGTTCCAGACCTAAGTGAGCCTTCATGTGGCTTCTGGGAACCAAACACGGGTCCTCTGAAAGAGCAGACAGATGCTCTTAATTACTGATTCATCTCTCCAGCCCTAGACTTTTGTTCTTACACAATAATTACTAAAAAGCAAAAGTTTTCTTCTGCTAGGCACACAGTTACACAGCACATGCAATTACAAAGGGTAGAAAAAAAGGTGGAATTATTTTCACTGCTTCAATATAACACAATCTTATAAAACCATCATAGGACATTAAAAGTATGTCCAGTTGGCTTGATTATATGTGTGTGTCTGTGATTTGATCTCAGGAGGTTGACGAAGGAGGAGTGCAGGCCAGCTGGGCAGCAAGGTGAGGCTTCCTCTGTGGAATAGAAGGTGTGCCTAACTGCATAGGTTTGGTCTCTAGCATTGTCAGCAAAAAGAGAAGGGAAAGGGAGGGCAGAGAGAGAATGAGGATATGAAAATATGACCCCCCCCCCCAAAAGAAGTTAAAAGATGTGTAGGAGTATTTTGATAGTCCTATGAGCTGGGTCTGGGAGGAGGACTTGAGGGTGTATCTTTGGTGGCCAGCAGAGCCATAAACGAGACTGTCTCAGGAATGGTGATGATGATACTCGTTGCTTTCTGAGATTTTTGTGGTAGGCGCCTGCCAGCCTGCTTCCTTTCCTTTTTAGATAGTGCCTTTGCCTTTAATCCTGGTTGGCATCGAACTCAGGATTCTCTTACTTCAACCTCCTAAGTGCCCGACTGAAGACATGTACTATTGCTGGCTTAAAAAATGCAATTTTTTTTACTTTAAGTAGTCACATTTGTTCTAACTTTAGAGCAAGTGCAGCCTGACTACACAGAGCTCTGTTTAAGATTGTTTTATTTATTCTTTGCTTTTTTTTTTTTTTTTTCTTCAACCAGGATCTTACTGAGTGGACCTGGCTGACCTGGAACTTTCTATGTAGGCAAGGCTAGCTTAGAACTTGAGGCATTCCTCTTGCCTCTGCCTCCAAGTCTTGGAATTTACTGGTAGCCTACACTAGCCCGGAACTCACTCCTTAGTTAGTGATGACCTTGAGTTTCTCTTCCTCCTTGTTTTCACCTCCCTAGAGCTGGGACTGTAAACGTCTGCCCCACGTCTGATTTTATTTATGCTGTATTCGAGAGTGAACACAGGGCTTTTCGCATTCTTGACAAACAAGCCAGCTCCCACTCCAGCTGTCTTGGGTTTTGAGAAGGGTCTTACTAATTGCTCAGGCTGGCCTGGAACTCACTCTGTAGCCCAGTCTTCTTGCTGATCTTTTCTAAGTATTGCTATTAAAACATGTGTCCCACACCTGGCAGGTGCATTTAGTTAGTTTTTAAACTTCTATCTCTTGTTGTATTGACCCATTCCTCGTGCTCTAAATAGTGGGAGAAGATGGTATTTAAACAGATTGGGAGCCAGTGAGACAACTAACGGTAAAAATTCCTTTTACCAACTTGATCCCGGGACTCACATGGTGAAAGGAAAGAACTGACTTTCTTAAATTGTCCTCTGACCTCCACAGGTCCCTCATGGCCCTAACACACATGCAAACACAAAATAAAAATAAATGGAATAAACAGAGATGGGCTTTTAGGTCCTAGCTCCTCTTCACTCTGCCAGCCCAGCCTCTGGGGCATGTCCTCACGTCTCTGTCAACCCTTTAACTCTTAACCCTAATAGACCTCCCCTTCCTAACCAGTACCCTCCTGTCCAGGATCTTAAAATTCAGTTCTGTACCATGGGCTAACCCCTCCCGTTCAGAAGACCCATTTCCTTGTCACTAGGCTCCGGTCTTCCTCCTTTGTCCAGCCTCCTGCCTCCCTGGAGCAGACCCTCTGCCCCCCACAGAGCCATTTACTGTTTTTGTCGTTGTTCCCTTGGGCCCTTGAGATTCAGGCTCTAGTGCCCTCCTTGGCCAAAGTTAGTGATGGGGGGGGGGGCTCGGGGAGTAACCAGCCAGGCAAGAAAGATCCATCCCTCTGACTATCCATGTGGGGCTTTTTTGGTTTTCGTGTTTGTATTTTTATTAGTTTTAGAAAAGCCAGCTTGTAACTTGCGTGCTCAAGCAGTCTTCCTCCACAGTCGCCATGCAGGGGTCTCTGCCTGTCTGCTTAGGGTGGGTGAGGTAATGGCATTTCTTGGCCATCTGGATTATTTATGGGAGCAGAATTGAAGTCAAGGTGTAAAAAGCCCATGAATGTTGATTGAGTCTTCCAGCAAACTCAGGGAAGGCTTCTACCAGTTCCTCGGGTCCTTCCCATCCAGGAGTTGGGAATAACAATGCTGTTTCCTCCCAAGGCTGTCCTGACAGGTAATTCGCCTCAAGTGTGAGTGAGAGGCCCTTGGTTCCCAGTAGAGGGGAAAAAATACAGGGCTAGGAATGAAGTGCCGTTGCTTAATGCTTGCCTGGCGTGCATGAACTCCAGAACCAGTCGTCTGTGCTTGTAATCTTAGCACTTTGGAGACAGAGGCAGGAAGATGAGACGTTCAATATCATTCCCAGCTATATAAGCTTGAGGCCAAATCCATGGGACCTTGTTGGAAAAAAATCAGAGTAAAAATAAATAAATGCCTGGCCATTGGTGGCGCAAGCCTTTATTATCAGCACTTGGGAAGCAGAGGCAGGCGGATCTCTGTGAGTTTGAGGGCTGCCTGGTCTACAGACTGAGTTCCAGGACAGGCTTCAGAGCTACAAAGAGAAACTCTGTCTCAAAAAACCAAACAAACAAATAAGTAAATAAGTGAATGAAGAAAAATGCTTAGCTCTTACCCTATTTGTAATGGTCTGTCCTGTCCCTTTAAGAGACAAGCCTCCTTCCTCCCCCTTTCTCTCTTCCACTCCTATCCCTGTCCCTCACCCACCATGGCTACTTACCCAGTGGGGCCACAGCATTTTTACATTGCACTATTGAATGTTGGTGGTCAGGGTTACTGGTTACATTTATGGCTTCCTGCAGTGACTGCAGTCTTGTTTCACAGACCACTGTGTGTGTGTGTCTCACGGGAAACAGGGTGCTCAGCAGTAAGTCACTTTGACAGCAGAGAGCTGTTTGTACGGAATGGCAGGAAGCACCACAGACAAGTGGTCAAAGCATATGCCTACACAAGAGTGTTCATAGAAGCCTAGTCATAGGAGACTCCAGGCTATAAACGACCCACTGAAGGGCAGAGGAAGTGTTCCAGTGCACATAGGAGAGAAAATACCCTGAAAATGTGTACAGGTTATGGATTGCTAAAGAAGCTGGCTGCAAAACAGTATGACCCTCTCAAATAAAACTCTAGGAAAAGCAAATCTGAAAATGAAGGTGGTTGTCTGGGTTGAAGAACAAGGTATTGATCTTATGAACTTAGGTGGGAAAATGACGGTGTTTAAAGATAGGCACTCTTAGCTTAGGAGACTGAGGCTTCAGAAGGATCATGAATTCAGAGTTATGTAATACCCTGTCTCAAAAAGAAAACAGCAGGAAAGCTGTAGCTCACTTGGTGGTGTTGAAGAACCAGCTTCTGTTCCCAGCACAGCGCCAGTAACCCAGCACTCAGCTGGTGGAGGCAAGAGAATCCAGTCAAAGTCATCATCTGTATAGTCCGAGGTCAGCCCACATGGCAAGAGAGCCCATTTCTTTTTTTTTTTTTTTTTGGTTCCCTGACCGGAAAACGAACAAGAGAGCCCCTTTCTAAAAAAGAAAAGCACTAAAACTGCTTGGGACAAAGACAAAGTAATAATAAATTCTCTTGATTATAATTTTTTTTGTTTCGGTTTTTTTCCGAGACAGGGTTTCTCTGTAGCTTTTTGGTTCCTGTCCTGGAACTAGCTCTTGTAGACCAGGCTGGCCTCGAACTCACAGAGATCCGCCTGCCTCTGCCTCCCGAGTGCTGGGATTAAAGGCATATGCCACCATCGCCTGGCTTGGTTATAAATTTAATAGATGGTGGGGCTAGAGAGATGGCTCAGTGGTTAAGAGCATTGCCTGCTCTTCCAAAGGTCCTGAGTTCAATTTCCGGCAACCACATGGTGGCTCACAACCATCTGTAATGAGGTCTGGTGCCCTCTTCTGGCCTGCAGTCATACACACAGACAGAATATTGTATACATAACAAATAAATAAATATTTTTAATTAGTAGATGGTGAAGTGTGTCTGCAGTGAGCTACGGGCGCTTGTGTGCTTAAGCACGGTCACTCTTTGCTGACTAAGGACTTTGCTTTCTCAACACCCCAGGTGGAGACATCCTAAAGATTTGCATCTGAATAGACAGTCGGTTAAGGTAAGAGTTTCCCTTTATCTCTTTTGCACATCCTTTTGATAATTTTAGGTTTTGTTTATTTACTTATTTTGGTGGAGGGTCTCTTTAGGTCTTGCTGACCTTGAACTCACAGAATTGCCTGCCTCTGCCTTTGCAGAACTGGGATCAAAAGTGTGTGCCACCAGGCCTGACTGAGTTTGTTTGGTTATTTGTTTTGAGAAACTTGACTTTTTTTTTTAATTTATTTACTTATTATGTATACAGTGTTTTGTCTGCAGGCCAGAAGAGGGACAAGATTGAATTATGGATGGTTGTAAGCCACTATGTGGTTGCTGGGATTTGAACTCAGAGCCTCTGAAAGTACAGCCAGTTCTCTTAGCCTCTAAGAGTCCATTTTTTGTTTGTTTGTTTTAATCTATGTGTATTTGTATGTTTTATGCCATGCGTGTATTGTTCCTTGGAGCCAGAGTTTCATGCAGGCAGATTGGAACCTCCAATGTGGATAGTGGGAGTGTAACTAGGGTCCTCTGCAAGGACCTCCGTGTCATCTCTCCAGCTCTGAATTCCTTTCCTGAAGACCAATTTTGATCCGAGTTTTGTTTTCCCCCAAAGGGGTGGCTGTGCCTGTGTGTGCCTGCATGCATGTACGTGGGTGGGTTTCCAAGGAGGGCACAAGAAGGCATTGGCATCCCTGTTATTGGAGTTAAGGGTGACTGGTGCTGGGCATTGATCCTGGGTCCTGTGGAAGAGTAGGTAGTGCTCTTAACCACTGAGCCACCTGTCTAACCAAAGTGTGTTTCTTCCTCAAAGGTGAAGAACACTTAGATCTATGCTTAGAGCAGGAAACTTCTAGAAGGTTTTGGTCAGGGTGCTGTCATGACTAAGACAAAGACAAGTGTCCTAAAACTGTCCTTTGGGGAGTTGGAGAGATGGCTCAGCGGTTAAGAGCGTTGCCTGCTCTTCCAAAGGTCCTGAGTTCAATTCCCGGCAACCATATGGTGACTCACAACCATCTGTTTTTTTTTTTTTTTAAAAACGTCCTTTGGGTAGATGTGAGGCATTGCTGGGGAGAAACAGGAAGCTTGTCAGGGGGCTTTGTTCATAATATCACGTGACTCAAACTCTCTAATGTTTCTGTATGTAGATTTGTTTGTTTCGTTTTCGTTTTTCAATTCAGGGTTTCTCTGTATCTTTGGATCCTGTCCTGGAACTAGCTCTTGTAGACCAGGTTGGCCTTAAACTCACAGAGATCTGCCTGCCTCTGGCCTCCCAGTGCTGGGATTAAAGGTGTGTGCCACCATCGCCCAGCCTGTATGTAGATTTTAAAGAAAGAATAATCATGGTGATCCACATAAAGCCCAGGTGCTAGGTAGGGGTGGGAGCCCTGGTACAGATCTGGTGCAGCTGGTAGTCTGGTCTTCAAACTGGCTGGTGGTCATTCAAGAGGGAGAGGTCTAGGGCCCGCAGACATGGCAGATTTGAGAACTGAGGGCTGGACTCTGTTCTCGCTCTTTCTCCCTCTCAGAGGAAGTCATTACAGACATTCAGTTTCGTAGTCCTTGACTCTGTTGATACTGGGAGTAAGTGGCTAAGGTTCGCATAGCAGATGTAGACAAAAAGGGACATGGAACCAAGGATAGATAAACTTTGAAGCTGTGTTCTCATGACCTACTTCCACTGTCTCCTTTGGTTTGGTTTTTGAAACAGGGTTTCTCTGTAGATTTGGAACCTGCCTGGAAGAACTAGCTCTTGTAGACCAGGCTGACCTTCAACTCGCAGATCTACCTGCTTCTGCTTCCTGAGTGCTGGGATTAAAGGCGCGCACCACCACCACCTGGCTTCTTCCACTGTCTCCTAAGATTTCCTGAATCTAGTGCCACTAGTTGGGGATTAAGTATTCAATACATAAGCCTGATTGGGAGACACTTCATGTTTAAATCATATTTTACCTTAAAAACTCATGGCAGGGGCTGGAGAGATGGCTCAGAGGTTAAGAGCATTGCCTGTTCTTCCAGAGGTCCTGAGTTCAACTCCCAGCAACCACATGGTGGCTCACAACCATCTGTAATAGGGTCTGGTGCCCTCTTCCGGCCTGCAGGCATACACACAGACAGAATATTGTATACATAATAAATAAATAAATAAATGTTTTTTAAAAAAACTCATGGCAGTTTTATTATGCAAAATACATTTAGTTCATATTCAAGTGCCTCCAACATCTTTTTAATCTTGTGGGAGCCCACAGTAACTCCATCCCATCTTAACCTAAGGTAAGAGAGTTCAAGCTTATTCTTGCTCCTCAAGACCAGATAACAGGATGTTTGGCCAAAGGTGTGGTTTCTAGGTTTTTTGAGTATTCAGGAGATGAGTATGCCTGTTTGTTTCTTGAACCATGTTAAGGAAATCTTTTGCTTTGGATGTAAAAGGGCTGTGAGGAAATAATTTGGGGCTGCTGCATATTCACTGAGAGTCCTAATTCTGTCTTCTGTTTTTTTGTCTTTTAATCCTCAGTCCCCTATTCAGTTTGACAAGCTTGCTGGTCCTGATAGGTGGCACCCACCCGTGGAACCTCAGGAAGAACACTGCAAGTGATTGGAGCAAAATTGTAAACATGGAGCAGGGTAATAGTAGACAGCTGTTTATACATTTGATTAAAGATATTTTAAAAGCCAGAGGAGCTAAAGTGGAGCAGCAGCAAGTTCAAGAATTCTTAGAGTTTGTCGAGCAGGTGTGCCCGTGGTTTTCCAAGCACAGGACCTTGGATGCAGACACATGGAGGAGAATTGGAGCAAAAATCCAACAGCATTCTAACAAGCATGGGCCTGGAAAGGTCTCAGTTGGTGCTCCCAGTCTGTGGGCACTTATCCAGGACAGTTTGAATTTGCACCCTGAAGGGCAGAAGGTGTTTCCTCCTGAAACAGTTAAAAGTGAAACAAAACCCTCTGCGCTGCTGAAGGGGCCCCTGGATGCGGACACCTTTACAGAATTGTTGGATGATGATCAGTTTGATCCTGTTGAAGCTGAGTTTGAGGAAGAACGTACTGGGTACAGTAATGAGAAGTTTTCACCTCCCCAGATTCAGACTGTGAATGTCAAAGGGCAGAAACTCGGTGATGAGATTGAGGAGGAGCTGAAGGGCTTGAGGAATTTAGTGGTTTCCCTTTCACAAAAACTGGAGAGTCTGCAGGTCTCTCCTCAGAAGGGCACTCCTCTTCCTACTACTGTCAAGGCTGGGTTAGATCCGCCTGGGGAGCCATCTGTGGTGCAAAGACTTCCCAGGGTATGGCAAACACTCACTGTTAGTCATATGTCTCCCCTGGAAGCTAGTGTTAAAGAAGCAGCTAGCAGAGGGGAGGATATGCAAGGGTTTGAGATGTTCCAAGTGATTGAGCAGCGAGATGCCCAGGGCAATATTATTTTGGTGCGTATGCCGGTTCTGTTTAAACAACTAAAGGAATTAAAAATGGCATGCTCTCTCTATGGGCCCACTGCACCCTTTACAATAGGTCTGCTTGAAGACATAACTATAATGATCTTGACCCCTGGGGATTGGAAACTGATTGCCAGAACTTGCCTGTCAAGAGAGTGTTACCTATGGTGGAAAGCTGAATTTATGGAACAATGTGAAGCCACAGCTGCAAGAAATCAGGCCCAGCAAAGTTCCATTACTTTTGATATGCTTGCCGGAGAAGGCATTTATCAGACAACAGATCAGCAGTTAAATTTTGATCTGGCAGCGTATGCCCAGGTAGAGATGGCTGCCAAGACGGCTTGGAATAGGCTTCCGTCTACTGGGATGCGCACCGTGGACTTGTCAAAAATAAGACAAGGACCTGATGAATTATTTCAGGACTTTGTCTCTAGGTTAAGGGAGGCAACAAGCAGGTTAATTGGGGTTACAGAAGATAGATTTGTCAAAGTGCTAGCCTATGAAAATGCTAATGCTGTCTGTCAGGCTGCTTTGAGACCTTATAGATACAAGGGCAACATCTCTGATTATATTCGACTTTGCTCAGATATTGGGCCTTCATATACTCAGGGGTTAGCTATGGCTGCTGCATTACAGGGAAAAACAGTTAAGGATATTCTCTTCCAACAAAGAAATCAAGGCCTGAGAAAAGGGAGAGCTGTGGGCTATTCTGGAAGTTGCTTTGGGTGTGGCCGGATGGGGCACAAGGTCAAGCAATGTCCTGATAAGAGAAAAAGTGTTGGGACAAAGAAGGAACCCGGATTGTGCCCAAAATGCAAGAGAGGAAAACATTGGGCTAATGAATGTAGATCAAAGAAGGACGCCCATGGGAATCCACTGCCGGGAAGGGGGCAGAGGGGCTTGCCCCAGGGCCCGAGACAATGTTGTGGGGTGCTTCAGAAGTCTGTTCCTCTGCAAGGAAAAGGTACCTCGGCAGTGCAGAATTGGATCTCAGTTCTTCGCTCTGCACAGTTTTAACTCCCAAAATGGGCGTGCAAACCCTCCCTTTTGGTGTTTATGGGCCTTTACCAAAAGGCACTGTAGGGTTATTGATGGAGAGGAGTGGTACCACCACACGGGGTTTGTTGCTCCCAGTGTTATTGATGCTGATTATGAAGGAGAAATCAAGGTTATGAGCCACTTGCCTAATCGAATTTCTGTGGTAAAGAAGGGCTTGAAATCTGCACAATTAATTTTACTTCCCCAAGTGTAAACAGTAAATCAAGTTTCAAGAGGTAAAAGAAGAGGCTAGATTTGGTTCATCTGATGCCTGTTGGTTCACAGTGCCCAGAACTCACTTTGTTTATAAATGAAAAGAGCTTTTCTGACCTTCTAGGTGCTGGTGCAGGTGTGTGTTATTACTGCCAGTCAATAGCTTTCAGTGTGGCCAAAGATGGATTCTATTACACAACTGCAAGGGATTGGCCAGACTCAGAGTCCTGAGCAAAGTAGCATTGGGCTTTCCCTAGAAAGATGAAGAAGGTCATGAAGGAGCTTTTCCACCATACATTTCCCCCCACTTGTTGGTAAATTTGTGGGGTCAAGATGTTATGAGCCAAATGGGAATGTATTTGTATAGCCCCAATGCAGATGTCCTACCTGATGGGGTTAGGAAGAAACAATGCCCTGCTTTGTGGGCCATATTTGGGTTCATTTTAATCTTCCTGGCCCTCTAGCAGACAGTAATGCGTTGGCTGATAATATTAATACAGATGGTCCGCCTTGTCCCAAGTAGAATTGATTCAACAGTCTCATGCCCTTCCTCATCATAATAGCAGAAATTTTTTTTTTTTTTTTTTGGTTTTTCGAGTCAGGGTTTCTCTGTGGTTTTGGAGCCTGTCCTGGAACTAGCTCTTGTAGACCAGGCTGGTCTCGAACTCCCAGAGATCCGCCTGCCTCTGCCTCCCGAGTGCTGGGATTAAAGGCATGCGCCACCACCGCCCGGCTATAATAGCAGAAATTTAAGAAAACAATTTGATCTTACCAGGGAAGTTGCTCATCAGATTGTAAAGGAATGTGATATATGCCCATAGTATTTGCCTGTGCCTTCTTAGGGGTAAATCCTTGAGGCCTTCTTCCTAATCATTTATGTCAAATGAATGTTAGTCATGTTCAGAATTTGGGAAACTAAAGTATGTGCAAATGACAGTCTATTCAAGTTTCTTGATAGCCACTGCACAAACTGGTGATAGCTCATTGCTTAAAATGTTTTTCCTATATGAGGATTCCTAAAATGAAAATGGATAATAGATCGGTATATATTAGTAAAGCATTTTACTTTACCCAATGGTAAGTTGAGCATAAAACAGGCATTCCTTACAATCCTCAAGGATGAGGTACTATTGAACGATCGCATGGCAATCTAAGATACAACTTAATAAAAAAAATGAGTTATATCCTCACTCAGCATATAATGTATAAATCATGCCCTTTTTATTTACAATTTTTTGAATGTGGATGCTCGTGAGCAGTATGCCACGGATAGATTTTGGCATGATGGCATTCAAGTGACTGTTGCTGAGGTGAATTGGGAAAAATCTCTTTTATAATAATGATAGTCTATCTACAAGACAAGGATTATCTCTTCAGGAACAGCTCTGGGATAGGAAAGTACAGTATGGTAATATATAAGACTACAGCAGAACCCTTGTTGTACACAGGTTATATGATGAGCAAGGGAATAGATGGGTTAATGTTGATGGACAGTGTTATACTTTGAACTTTATGGATAGGCTTGCTAGATCCCAACCCCCATGGTTTCTGCTGCATAAGGAGGTACAAAAAAGTATTTCAACTGTTGCAGAGAGCTGTTAGGCATATTTGGTCACTAGATGCGATGAAGGGTTAGAAAGAGGAAGGGCCACGATAACAATGAGACACTTTCTATTCATAAGATGAGACCACTTGTCTGAGGTTTACGTTCCCAAGGACAAGATTTCCTCTTCTAAGGATGTTTTATGTCTAACACCTGTCCCTGATAATACACTTTTCTTATAAATCGCTGATGTGACTAAAAGAAGCTTTCATACTGTGCCAACTAATGATACATGACCTTCTGGTGTGTTCTTTGAATACTATATAATCAAAACATGAATAGAGTAAAATCGCAGGAGATTTCAACTACTTTCTTGTGTGTTGTCTGTCATTTGCCAAACTTGTGCCTTCCTGTGTACCAAGATACTGCTTCTCCCTTGGTATGAGTGCCTCCCCTGAGCTGGTCCATGGCAGGATGTCTGGCCAAAGGTATGGTCACTAGATGTTTTCCTCCTCGAGGCCAAAGGCATGGTTTCTAGATATCTTGTGAATTAGGGAGGTGATTATGCTTTTTATTTGTTCCTTCAACCATGGTCTTTTGCTCTGGGTATAAAAGGGCTATATGAAGTAAACTTGGGGCTGCTACAGTATTGAGAGCCCTCCTGATTCCATCTTTATCTCTTTTTTTAGTCCTCATTCCCCTATTCAGGTGACGACTGTTCAACAGGTCAGCCTGCCCCAACATCTTTTGGTGTTTTTTTGCCAGCCTTGTACAAAAGTTCAGTGTCTCTTTTGAGATTTACAGGCTCCAATCCCATGTAAAGTTGTACTTCCAATATGCAATGGCAGGGTAAGCATTTCTGTTCCCAATATAAAGAAAAGACTAATAAGGAAGAATCAGACCTAAGAAAGACTAAATCTAGCTCTAGCTAGTTATCTTTTTAAACCCTCACACAGTTGAGACCTCAAGACAAGAGCCCACCTGAAGAGTCGACTGCACAGAGGGGGACCAAAGATGAATTGGGGGCAGGGAGTGAAGGAAGAACTTAAGTCTTCCAAACATGTCCCTGCTCACGGATGGAGCAGCCTCCAGGCTAAAGCTGACTCTTCCCCTGTCAATCATGGACCCTTCTAGTTGATGCTTATGATAGAAGCTGGTCCATTGACCTTTCTCCACTAGCAACCTGTACAATTGGAAGCTACAGAATCCCAAGTTTTCTCAGAAACCCACTATGCTCTTTGACCTGTTAGTTTCTGTCCGCTCTACATCAGCCAACCTGGGATGCTGTTTACCAGTTGCTCTAGGTCTCTGTCACTATAGAAGAGAGGAAACAAATTCTGGTAGAGTCTCCAAAATTGGATCTGTACGCAGACAGGAGGCATAACACAAATCTAGACCTCATCAATGGCCGGGCGGTGGTGGCACAGGCCTTTAATCCCAACACTTGGGAGGCAGAGGCAGGCGGATCTCTGGGAGTTCAAGGCCAGCCTGGTCTACAAGAGCTAGTTCTGGGACAGGCACCAAAGCTACAGAAAAACCCTGTCTCAAACAAAAAAAAAGACTCATCAATGCAGGTTTCCGCTGATCTGACTTGATTGGGTCTTCAAAACAGGAAGATAGGGATGGCAGAAGGTCTACTGCTACAAGATTGCTTGTGACATTGGCTTTGACTGGAGGGAAGGAGCCTTGGGTGTCATCTAGGTCCTTCCAGTGTACTGAGCAGACAGTAGTATGGGTGTTCTCTCCTGTTCTGCTGATGGAGGAACTGGGTCTAAACTTTCAGTGAGGATGGAAGAGGACCCATGGCTTCTCTGCCCTTCAGTTCTGTTTTCTCTGCCTACCTAAATTCTGCCCTATCAAAAGGCCAATGCAGTTTCTTTATTCATTAACCAACGAAAACAACACATAGACACAAGGACCTCCTACACCAGATGATGGTGATGTGTACCCCAGGGTCCCCAAGTCCCTTCACTGCCAGCCCATTGAGAGGTATGGTCATCATGGGAGGGTGTGGAAAAATGTGCAGTGTCCAAAACACCCTAGGGGGTTCTCCTTTTAGCTGAGGGGTGCCCCCTCTGGAGTTGCTGAGCAGTGACAGGTTGTGTCCCACAGTCCCTGGCCCAGGGGGCGCCTTTGTTACATTTGGGGCAGAATTCCTTGTGTGGATTGCATGTGTGAGTGGTGGACTTTGTGGGGTGATCTTCGGACCCTAACATTCTCCACACTGCTTCACTATCCTTGTCCCCAGCCTTACACAGGCTTTTCCGACTGGTGGGTGGTTTCTGGGGGCTCTGCTCTCTTTGCTCTGTATTCTCTCCGTGGACCTGGATGACAGGGCCACAGCCTGCATGCTGGGGTGACTTGGAATGTCCTCACCTTTAAACTCAGCTTCCTACAAAGTCTCAGGGCATGGACAGAATGTAATGTGTCTGCAACACTCTGGCTTTTCTGGCTCACAGTTCCAACTGTTCCAAATACTCAGCACGGATCGGGTCTGAGGCTTGGTGGATCAGGTTATTAGGTCATCCCAGTGGTGTCTTCCTCATGTCTTTAGTGTCAAGTTTTTGTTAGTCAGACTTTGTGTTACTTTGCCAAAGCACTTGGCATGAACAATTTAAGAAGGGAATCATTGTTTCAGCCCATAGGCCTTGGCTTCGAATTTGGGCCCTTGGTAAGACAGAACGTGGTATGGGGGGCATGCGGGAAAACAGCAGGTACCACCTCTTGTCGTCACACTCTGAGAGAGTGTGGGGGACCATGAGAATTTCTGATAGGGTTCTTCTAGGACTGGAGTCGAAAGAGGAAGCTGGTGCACCAACCCAGCTCAGAATTCTGTGGCCAAGGCTACCAGTTTATGCAGTGTCCTTGGCCGACACCTAGTGGCCACGTCTGGTAATAGCCTTGTGTTTTGGGGGCAGGGTCTCATGTAACCCTGATGGGCTTTGAATTCTTGCCCCTCCTTCCTCAGCCTTCAGTGCTAGGATTAAAGGTGTGCTGCTCCGGGTCCTTCTTACCCGCACGCGTCGGGTCATTTGCAACTCCCTTTGCCGGCCAATTCAGCACGTTTGCTACCTAGGATGACTGCTCTTCACAGAGGCCTTTTGTTTTGGAACGGGTTTTGTTGATGAGTTTCACTTTTTTTTTTAAATATTTATTTATTATGTATACAATATTCTGTCTGCGTGTATTCCTACAGGCCAGAAGAGGGCACCAGACCTCATTACAGATGGTTGTGAGCCACCATGTGGTTGCTGGGAATTGAACTCAGGACCTTTGGAAGAGCAGGCAATGTTCTTAACCGCTGAGCCATCTCCAGCCCGAGTTTCACTTTTTTAAAGGACTTTCTTTAACTTATGTATATGTGTGTGGGTCTGTTCCATACTGACAGTGGTGCCTTCAGAAAGCAGAGGCATCAGCTGCTCCTGGGGCTGGAGTTACAGGTAATTTTGAGCGGCCTAGCGTGTGAATGATGGGAATCGAACTCTGGTTCTCTTCAAGAGCAGTGTGTTCTCTTAACCACTGAGCCATCTCTCCAGCATCCTTGTACATTTATTTTAATGTGTATGTGTGGTTTGCCGGCGTGTAGGCTTATGCCTCACATGTGAGCCTTTTGCCCTCCGAGGCTAGAAAAGGGCCTCGGGTTTCCCTGGAATTGTATTTGCGGTTAGGAGTGCTAGAAATGGAATTCGGCTCCTCTGGAGGAAGAGCCAGTGCTCCTAACCACCGAGGCAGCTCTCCACCCCACGGTACATTTACTTTTTTTGCCAGTCCTAGATGGATATTCCTTCGTGCTTGCTTTATTTTTTGAGATGGAGTCGGGGGAGAATCTCGCTTTGTAGCCCCAGCTGGCCTGGAATTCACACAGATCTGTCTGCCTCGGCCTGCTGAGTGCTGGGGTTGAACGTGAACCACCACAGTTGTGGCGAATAAATATACTTCATTTAGTATTGCTAACAGCTGTGTGAGGTACCCGTTGAGAGAGATCTTTGGTTTATAGATGAAACCTGAGCCTCAGAAAGATTATCTAAGCGCCTGGGACAGTGGGATGGCTCCATGGTGGAGCACTTACCCGACATGCACCAGGCCAGCGCGCTGATCCCCCCCCCCCCCCGCCCCCCAGTTCTATCCTGTTCACTGTGCTCCCCTGGCTTCAAGGTTTTGCTCCTCCTTGTGTGTGAATTCAGGAGGCATCTCCATGCTTGTGTGAGCCGGTAAGGGTGGGCGTTAGTTAAGGAAGTGGTTTAGGTCCCTGTTTTCTTTTTCTTTGTTGTTTTGGAGCAGGGGGCCGGGCAAGTGAGTTCTTTCTACTGCCTAGCTCTGTGCTTGCACGGCTCCTGCTCTTTCTGAACTCCATCATGCCTGTAATTTCTTTGTTACTGCATCGCAAGGCTGTCCCAGGGGTTTCGGGAGATCCATGTTGGCTTCAGGTTCTCTCTTTTTCTTCAAGGCTTGACCATTTATTTCCTCATGTTAAAGACTCTTATAGCTGTGCAGTACAGGCGCTTGGGAGGCAGAGGCAGGAGAATCTCTGAGTTCAAGGTCAGCCTGGTTTACAGAGTTAGGGCGAGGACAGGCTCTAAAGCTACACAGAGAAACTCTCTCTAAAAAAAAAAAAGAAAGACTCTTATTTTTGACTGGTCTCTGGCTTAGAAGTAAAAACTCTCAGCGAGGATAACCTACATCTTTTGGTAATCTGTTCCTGGCGTTTATCCTAAATTTTTAAAAATTATTGACTTTATTTTATGTGTAAATATTTTGACTGTCTGTATGTATGTGTACTAAGTTCATATCTGATGCCTTTGGCGGTCAGAAGAGGGTACTGGATCCCCTGGAACTGGAGTTATAGATAGATGGAAATGAACCACTGTGTGGGTACGGGGAATTGAACCTGGGTCCTCTGCAAGAACAGCCAATGCTCTTCACTGCTGAGCATCTCTGCAGCCCCCCAACCCACCCCTCACTCCCCACCACCCCCACCAACGTTTTTCTTTGACTTCCTGGATTCTCTTGGCCAAAAACTTACTGTTTTCCACAGGGTTGTTTCTTCAGAGCTATACATCCAAGTTTGTGTTACAGGACATGTGGAGCAACAAGACTCTCAACCCTGGGTGCTTTGGTCCTGGGCTCTTGACCCTCCTTGTTTAAGGGTCTCTGACAATGTTGGCAGATACCATCGTTTTTAGAGAGACTGGAACGTTTGTGAGTTCTGTTAGCTCTTTTGGGCCCCAACCATGGAGGTACGGTAGTCTTCGTCAGACCAGAATATATTTTTGTTTGTTTGTTTTTGTTTCTGATATAAAGATGGGGTCTCATGTTCCAAGCGAGTTTTGAACTTACTACAGCTAAGGATGACCTTGACTTTCTGATTTTCCTGCCTCCCTGGCGTGGCCACCACACCGTTCTGTAGCACGAATTTTAATTGGTGTTAGTAATGAAAACCTGGCATCAGATAGTAGGGGGAGAAAGGTGAAAGATCTAAGAAGGAGAGCAGCCAAAGCACTAGTTCCTACCTCTACGAAATCCTCAGACGCATGGGTGACCTGTCTCCACAAGTCCTCATGCTGAATGCTGTCTATCCTGGGCTCCGGTCTGCTCCCACCTCACAGTCCTCTCCCAGCTCAGCCACCACTTCCGTCGCCTTCACCTCCCTAGTGCTGGGATTAAAGGTGTGAGCCACCACTGCTTGGCTCTGTTTCTCTTTTAGATAGATTCAATCTCACTAGCCCAGGGTGGCCTTGAATTCACATAGATCCTCCTTCTCTGTCTCCCAAATGCTGGGATTAAAAGTGTGTGTCACCACTGCCTGGCTTCATGGCTGCTAACCAGTGTGGTTAGCTCTGCATTCTGATCTCCAGGCTCGCTTTATTTATTAAAGTACAAACAAAATACCACCTTATTATTTGTTGTTTTTTTTTTAAATATTTATTTATTATGTATACAATATTCTGTCTGTGTGTATGTCTGCAGGCCAGAAGAGGGCACCAGACCTCATTACAGATGGTTGTGAGCCACCATGTGGTTGCTGGGAATTGAACTCAGAACCTTTGGAAGAGCAGGCAATGCTCTTAACCACTGAGCCATCTCTCCAGCCCCTGTTTGTTGTTTTTTTAATTGGGTAATCTTTTCTCTATATTTCCTGGGTTGTTTTTTTAATTCAGGAGACTTCCACTTCATCAGGAACAGGAGATTCATCTTGCTTTGTCGGCCTGTGGAGCTCTAGGTGATGATGGTCAGGATGATTTTGGAAATGATCTCTTGTAGCTCAGGTTAACCTCCAACTCCCTAGATAGCTGAGGATGACCTTGAACTGCCTCTACTTCTCAAGTGCTGGGGGAGGTGGAGAGATCAAGTGAGAGGGGACCTGGGGAACAGGACACTGCACACGCAAGCACCTGGGACAGCGCACGTGACAGCACACGCAAGCACCTGGGACAGCGCACGTGACAGCACAGGTGTCTGACAGGGCACATGCACACGCGTGTGGACTCCTTAGGAGTCTTGCTTAAATGTCTCAGTAAAAGTGCATGTGCCATGTTGGCGGCTTCTGAGGCTTGATTGTTTAAAAGGTTTCTAAAGAACTTTCTTCTTGTATGGAGTTAAGGAGTTCAGACGTGTTTTGACTATAGACAGCCTTATCTTGCTTGGGAGATTCTCAAGTAACCGTTTACATCTGGGAAAGAAAGCATGGTTCTTTGCTGGTTTTTACTTTTAATTTGATTTGATTGAGATAGGGTGTCATGACAGCCCCTAGCTGTTCTGGAGCTTGTGAGCAATCCCCCTGCCTCTGTGTCCTTAGACATTACATAGGTTCCAGCTCCCCGCTTCAGCCGTGTTTCTTCCTGCATGTGATGGATGTAAAAGTGCTAAATTGTACTTAAATGCCTGGCTGCAATGCAGGCTTTCCTCCCACTGCCACTGAGAGATGATTCCTTTCCTGTTCATCTTTGCCAGGGTTTGGTATTGTCTCTTGCTTTACATTTGACAATGTGACAGCATGAAGTGGTTTGTTTTTAATCTGTCCCCCCCCCCCAATGAATACCAGTCGTTCTGAACATATGTTAGCTATGGAGTTTGGGATGCTGCCACAAAAAAACAAAGCTTCAACTTAGAACTGCCCTTTCCCTTTCTTTCCTCCCAGTTCAAAACGCCTGCCTTCCTCTCTTCGCTGCTCACTTTCATTTTTGAGACCAGGGTCTCACATAGCCCAGACTGGCTTCTGTTGTGTGACACAGCTTTCCTGGGGACACCCGACACACATCTACTCACCCCAGATAGGGAACCCACAACAGACAGAAGTACAGGTCTCACCAAAGTCCAGCCTGGTGAACCAGTGAGTTTATTGGGGTTACTTACAGGAGCAGCAACAACTTAGAGACAGCTGCGTCAACAAAGCCTACGCCAGCAGGGGTGACAGATGACAAAAGCTGGGAACCTGGAGCACACTGCACAGCTCGCAGGAAGCTCAGCAGGTTGGATAGCGTCCTTTCCGGTGCCTCAGTTGGTCTAAACGTCCCTGGCAGCTCACAGCTGGTCTGTCTGTTCCAAGCAGCTGGTCTCAGACTCCGCTTTGCGGCTTGGTTAATCTCAGAACCTTAGCGGCTTACCTTCCTTCCAGGGGCTCGCAGTTTTTATCGCTTACTCTAGCGGGGAGGAATCTAGTGAATCCAGTTTCAGGGACTCACTGAAGCTGTTTTGAATGCTTCCCCTTCTTGCTTAAAGAGCTTCTTGTAGGGTGGAATGTTTGAATCTTGGAGGAACAACAGCTTCCAGCTCTCTCAGTAGCCAGGGAAGATGACCCAGTGGGTCAAGTGTTAGCCACAAGCCCGAGGCCAAGTTTGATCCCCAGAACCCATGTAAATCCACTGAACAGGAGGAAAGACCAGTTCCCAGATTCTG